GCTTATCGCGTCGTTATAGAACTCTGCTGCTGGTATGCGCTGAGGACAATAAGGAAACTTCCAACTAGCACACTAATAAGGAATGCACCAGTCACGAGCACTCGTATGAAAGTGATAATAGCTCATTCCGATCGACGCCGCCGCTTCGAATTGAGAGCGGTTGGTTACTGAGTAATCGCCGAATTACCTCAGGTCCATGTTGTTTGGTGTTAGCTCTCCAGATTGCCTAAAGCGAGAGCACCCTTGGAGCCCGAGCACCACAGAGCGACTCAGTGACCCATGCCTACAGCGATGAGCTCAAGTGCCCCCTTCATAGGTCTCCTGCATTCCGTGAGGAAACTCGTCCACTGACGGGACCGCAGCTGTACTGAGGGAATAGGAAGTGTGACCTCACTGCTAACGGTATAGACAGTGCCATGAAAGAGGTCCCAGCACTCACATGTATCAAGCTGTATAGTGTCAAGCCCCAGTCTGCCAAGCTGTTCGAGTGTAGACCTGGAACCATCAGTGTGGTTACAAGGACTAATGCCTATGGCCCTGTTCCTACAGAGTGATGAACTCTCGCAGCATCTCGAGCACTTTCATGAGCTGAGCCGACGTATCATAGGTTCGGACTAAGTGCTCTGCGATGGTCTTCCTAATAGGCTTATGTAAAGTAGCTAGGCCGGATAGTACAACTGCCTGACAGGAACTAGTCTTGCACGTGAACCCCTCCAACGATAAGGATGTGTGCTACTGCGTGAGCTGTTCGCAAAGCACCAAGGCACCGCCTTACCATTTGATGGGACTCCAGCATGTCCATGAGGCCCAGAGTGCAGCAGAAGAAACCGACATAGTTCATGTCCAGCTTCTTAATGGTGGATAACTTCATGAGCTCTCTGACATGCTCCACCATCGAGGGTGCCCAACCAGTGGTTGAGACAGTAGCCGCAGCCTCTTTCAGTTCCCGTATAATGCTGACGAGCTCTATCCCTCTCAACTTGGCGTAGTTGATTAGCAGAGAGCTCGTGAAGATGTTGCCACAAGCGAGGTCAAGCAGCCCTTGTGAAGACCACTTTTGGCGCAGTGTCGTGGGCT